CCTGCGTGACGCTGTCCTCTGTGACTCTGTCCTGCATGATGTTGTCCTGCGTGACGCTGTCCTCTGTGACTCTGTCCTGCATGATGTTGTCCTGCATGACGCTGTCCTCTGTGACTCTGTCCTGTATGATGTTGTCCTGCGTGACACTGTCCTCTGTGACTCTGTCATGCGTGATGTTGTCCTGCGTGACACTGTCCTCTGTGACTCTGTCCTGTGTGACGCTGTCCTCTGTGACTCTGTCCTGCGTGACACTGTCCTCTGTGACTCTGTCCTGCGTGATGTTGTCCTGCATGACGCTGTCCTCTGTGACTCTGTCCTGCATGATGTTGTCCTGCGTGACGCTGTCCTCTGTGACTCTGTCCTGCGTGATGTTGTCCTGTCAGGAGCCAGGCCCGCAGAGAGAGGTGGGAGCAGCTCAGCTTCCAGCCCGACTGGCAATAAAATAATAACAAGAAAAAAAAGGAGACAGAAGGAGACGAGCTGACACTAAATCAGTGCTAATTAGGGAGAGCTCACTGGGATGTGTAGGAGGGCAGTGGAGCGGGAGGCAGGCAGCACCTATCCCAGGTTTGAGAAAGGAATTCTTTTTCAGGAGGCAGAATTGCAACCCCCCAGTCCCACACAGACTGAGCCCCCTTTGCCCTGTTCGCCTGCACAGACCTGACACCCCCACCGAGCCAGCAGTCAGCGGGGCAGGAAATTCTCCAAGGGGACCGCTTCCTGTTATCGAGGAGGACTGAACTCTGACAGTCTATTAAGAAGACAAATTAGATGAAGAGGAGAGTAATTCTGTTGAAGCCCCCCTCCTCCACGTCTCTCTAATGCCCTGTCCTCCTCCACATGTGCCGACAGCTGCTGGAAAGTGGAGCTTATCTTCTGCTGCTGGAATCGGAATCAGGAATGGCAACCTGGGAGGCTGAAGAGGAGAGCCAGGACTGAATTAAAAGCAGATGAAACAGGTAACCCGCCGCTTGTGGGAATGAATTAATTTTGTCAAATATGTCCTTAGTTTATTTCAGAAATCTCTTCTGTTGCCTCAGTTCACAGATGTGTGTGTAAAGCCAGCAGCTCTATCACTCCGCAACTCACAGCT